GTTAAACATTATTTGTAATTAAATTTACCATTTTTGATTGATAGAAATCATGAACAAAATTTCAAGTTTCTTCCATAATCAATACAAATACAGAAAAAACTTAAAATATTATTTTGAATTTCTACTAAACTGAAATGGTAAATTAAATTACAAATAATGTTTAACATTATGTAAGTTATTTTTTAAGGCAAGAAATTGTGAAATGCCCGATGTGATATGCAGCGATCCGGAAACGTCATGTGATCTAAATAATTCGGTAATTTATTCTCACGATTGGATCACTGCACATATGGCTGTCCACCAAATCAGGACGAACTTTTACTCTTCGTGGGGGTCGGCATTTCTCAATTGACGCGCAGGCACTTTTTTTCTGGTCGGAGCTTATATTTGCACCTTATATAGTAGATTCCATCAATCTGCATGTCAAGACTCTTAAATAAAGTAATGAATTTTCTGCAACATTCAATTCAAATCACAGTACCAAAATAAGTTGGCGGTTTATAATATAGTAGTGTATACTCCAAATATACCAAATTTTAATATGAGTTAAATTGTCTTCACTCTATTAATTGATAACTTAAGTTAACAAGTTGGTTTCTCATGGTAGCATTTGTAGACCAACTGACACGTCTGAATAAATTTGACTGAGTGTATACAGGTTCAAACAGGGACAAAAAATTCTTCTTAAATTAACTAGAAATTCCACATCTCATATTTTTTAATTCTTTTTTCTCTTTCATGTTGATACCATCATACTCTACATTTTCATGTGAGGAATTTCTTTTAAATTTTTTATTTATTAAGATACAAGCATTTCTTTCAGTAAGATAGTAGTAAATCAGCCATATCTTGTTCAATATTGAAATATAAGAAAATTCCTCACACAAATCTCAAGATTTATGTAGTAATAACTTTAAAATGATTTTTAATGATTTTTAAATCTGTTGTGGAAAGAGAAGAGACATTTATAAGAAAGCATTCAAACTCTTGACACAAGAATGTGTTCCGGCCATCACGCGGCAGGCCGTGGGAATGTCCGCGTCGACCTTTGCAAATGCCGACCCCCACTCTTCGCTTTCAACCACCACCATTTCTGTCAGTGTCTGGGCCATGCAATCCACAACAAGTAAGTAACAGTAAAATAAGCACGTAAGACACGTTCATTCCATTCTTGTTTGTATATTGTACTTGTCATGTGTATTCAATGTTTCACATTGTGTATAGTTGTGTAGTACCAACTTCCCATTTGCTTGCCAGGTAAAATTGAATCAACAACAGAGTGCTGTATGTAGTTACACATAGATAGTCGTGCTACATCCTTTGTATGAGCTTTTTTTCTTTGTTTATCTGATGCATGTTGGTCAAAAGTTAATCAGTGATGGACATCTATGTATAATTACAGAATTAGACAAGGTGTTCAAGTATTATAAAAAAAGTGTATACAAAGGTATCTCAATATCCTGTAGAAAAAATAAAAATGGACTGAGATCAAGATGTTAGATGCCCTAGACAATGGAAGCTAGTAATGTAATAAGGTTCCTTAACATTGAGGCTAAGGTTACAGGTTTGGAGGATGAGAGTGACTTTTTCTTTGAATCAGGTAAGAAGCTGTTTTGTTCTTATGAAGGCCATAGCTAATAATATTGTGAGATGTTGATTTTATTGACAACAACAACCACAATCATGATCCTGCTCACAAAACAAGGCCTGCAGCTGATAAGGATGATTTAAATGTAGAAGGTTTTGTAAGAGAGCTTACAATAAGGTATAAAGCTGTAGGCCAGGTGAGTACTACTGGAAATGCACTTGCTAGGTCAGACACACTCTAACAAGCTATTCAAATCTGCTCTGAAAAGTAGGACACAACAATTTAAGGCAGACAGAATCATTTATTTATAGTACAAGTTAAGGTAAGAACTACCTATACTACTAATACAATTATTATTACTAAATTTCTCACTACATGTTTATAGCTTAGTTATAGGGTTTCTTATACTCTGTATGTCTACAAGTGTCTTACTGAGCTCTATAATCATGCAAATACAAATGCCTGAAATTTTATCCTTATTAAGTATATACAACAGTTATACAAGCCTAATTCTCCTATTAATCTTTCCTTTCCAAATGACCCACTGTGTGTGTTTGTATTGAATTTGTTGCCAGGTTATATATATGTACTCTGTACTAATCATACATGGTTAGCATGTGCCTGTACTTTCATACCTCTACTTAATTAAGTTAAGAAGCTTACTATTCTTGATAAAGAAGAAGCAAATTTTGTATTAGAGAAATAGTATTCCAGTCTAGTCAACAACAAGTACAAGGTGGGTGATTAGGTTACAATATGTTAGGGACTGTACAAGGGGGATTTATACAGAGTTAGACACATAGTAGAGGGTACAAATTAATTGGTTATTACAGTCATACTATACTTGTTAAAGAATCTGAAAGATTATAAGGTTTGACCTAAGCTCAAATTATTCACACTATAATTGCTACTTGTTTAGAAGGAGAAATCTGAATACATTAGTCAGAATACTTATACCTTTTGTTAGCAGGTCTACCAAGATAGGTTATGTGAGCTTGTTGTCTCTAGGACACACTATATGTAAAGGGCTCAACTGTTATTAAACAATGTAGAGTACTTTATAGAGACAGAAGTGTTCTTAGACTACTTAGACAAATGTGAACCTCTACTCTAGGTTGGCAACAAGATTTGTGTACAGTCAACCTGAATAATTAGCATAGTTAAGCTGGTCCTTAATGAATTTGTAATAGTGACACATACAAAGGACTTAACAGGCAATTTTGTAAACATTACTTTAATCTCAAATGAACATAGTACTTACAGTTATTTTAATACACAGTATGCCTTGAGTAATGTTAATAGGGTTCTTAAGATTGGTGTCAATGTTTGTATAATAGCTGGAACACATTAGAGACAGGTTAGTATAATTATAAACATTTTAGATTATAATAGTATAGTTACTTTAATTACTAGAACATATAATGAGGTGTGTCTACTGTTTGTTGAGTGAGTGCCTACAATCTAACATATTGTAACAGATAACTGTCAAATTATAATGGGTCCAATCCACCTTTAATTAGTCATTACTAATCCTTACTAATACTAGTAGAACACTTAATATATGTTAGTTCTACCACATTACTAGTCTAACTTTGTGAGTTTAATTCCTTTGTTCCTAGACTTACAGTATTAATAAACAGATGATTTTCACTACTGGCTTAGTTCTTGACTACTTAATAGGTTTTACTGACTAGCTCTCTCCAACCTAACTAGTGTGTCTTAGCTAAGTACAAGTAAAAATGTACTTGTAGAGACACATGTCTTCATTAGGTCTAATAGGTAATTCAAAGACAGATATAGGTACATTCTAAGTGTACACATAGACAGACATAAAGTGTTTGTTTCTATTAATAGATTTACAAGGACTATAGGTACAAATGAGTACAAAGTGTACTTACAGGACCTAATTATAGTGTGTAGACATGACCCTTACTTAATTAATATATATCTTATTATCTTATTTCAGGGATCTTGTATCTTGTCTTAATGTTTAGTATCCTCTTAGTAGTAATGAGCTTACTTATTATACTGAAAAGTTTAATTACTCTAAAAGTACTTTACAGAAACAATTGTTGACTTTATACTTGGAAGATGCCTTAAATGATAATAATAGAAGCTAGGCTGAGTTTATTGAGACATTTACTAGTAAAGTAACTAAAGATTTGAGAGGTCTAGGAATGTGGCTGGTTCACCCTACTATTATTACTAGGTTTGTAGAATGAAGGGTTCATTTCTGTATTAATAGGAACATATTCAGTAATTAGACACTACTATCTAGTACAGAATCCATTAATCATTCTGAATACTAAAAGCAGAATGAGTACAATTACTGTTATATCTGAGTCATACTTACTAACCCTTGCTTAACAACTTCTGCTAATCCAGAGTCCTTAGTAATCTATTACATTTTGCCTTAGTAACCTAAGAAGAACAGTAGTGTACTTGTTATTAATTAGACATTAGATTAATTTAGGGAAGTAGGTACTATTAAACAGTTTGAGAAGAATAATACTATAGTTACAATTATTTTTCCTGACAAGCTTTCTGTCTCTATAAGTATGAGTACTCTCACTCTTATAGAACTTCTGTAGGATAAGGAGTCTCAACTACTTTCTATGTACTTATTAAAAAATGTACCTTACTATACTAAATCTGTTTTTTCCTTTTTCC